GTCACGGTAGCTAGGTTTTATTGCTTTGTTTACTTGCTTTAATCTCTGTAGAAGCTTAGTTTTAGGTTTAGATAGATTTTACTGCATTGTTTTAGGTTCTGTCATAGATTAACATAAGATTAGAATAGTTTAAGTGTAGCTAGGTTCTCATTTTAATTTTCTGCACTACAAATTCCCCTTGAATACTGAAAAACTCATAAATATACATTACTTCACTCATTCCATCATTCACATCACACATTTACCACTGTTTTGAACATTTTGACCGAAGTGACCACTGTCACTCGGTCAGGTTTTCAGCCACACGCACCAAAACACTCTCACACGGTCATCTCACATTTTTAAAACTCAAAATACAAAAATATTTGCATTTACATCGGTCAACCATATATTTTATACACTTCATTTGATTCTTGACCGAGGCATTTCTTCATATATTCATTTTGACCGAGACCTTTTATTTTGTTGATTTTCTGACCACTTTTCTGACCACCAGTACTGTTCACTACGGTCATTTTCCATTTTAAAAACTCAAAACTCAAAAATAATTACATTTCACTCGGTCATTCATATATTTTACACCATTCATTTTATTATTGATTGAGAAATTGATTTTACATTTCATTCTGACCGAGAGTTCACATTTCTGACTGTGGTTTCTGACCGTGGTTACTATTCATTGTGGTCAGATTTATGAATTTCGTTTAACTTCAATCATCTGCATTTTTTTTATTTCTGTCTACATTCTTATAGGTCAATCATATATTTTGTTCACTAATTTCCATTTTTGACCGAGACAACTCATTAGTTTTTGTATGTTGACCGAGAGCACAAAATTCTGACCGTAATTCCTGATTGTTATTACTGTTCACGTCGGTCAGATTTACGATACTGACTGTGGTTATTGTTCATCACGGTCAGATTTGTGATTTTGGGTCAGATTTGTGATTTTCATATTTTTAGCCATTTTTGCATTCTGCAGTATTTTCATTCACTGCATATTAGGATTTTACCTCATTTTAATTTAGTCTAAGATTGTAAATTTCATTTTTAGTTTAGTTCCCCATTGAATCATTCATAACTCAATCATATACTCTTATTACTTCCACAGATTGATATTCTGGTCCCCATTGTACTGCATTATTACTGTTTTAGGGGAACTCATTTGAAAGTATTGAAACTGCGACATATCAATTCAACTTCTTTCAAATACCAAAGCCATTGTCTTAAGGCATATCCATCCCATATCATTCATTCATTTCAAAAAATAATAAGAATAAATAAAAATCTTAATTCATCTGCATTCTAGAAAGTGGTTAGTCTTCTTCTTGTCCTCACTCGCGTGCAAAGAATTAAGAGGATGGAGAAATTGGAAAAGTAAAACTGCAAGCTCACCATTGAGCTTAATGCCATAAAGGAGCAAATGGCGTGGTTAATGGAGCAGTTAGAGGAACAAAATTGCAAGCTCACCACTAAGTTTAATTCTATGAAGGAGAAGTTGGCGCAATTAACGAAACTAATATGCCAACAACACACATCCGCAATGAAGGCCCCCACAATGATCATATGGGCAGAAAAGTGGAATAAGGACTGAAGAGTGGGAGGATTATGCAACCTCCCCCATCCACATCATTCAAGAAGTTCCTTAGCAAGAAGGAGAAGCAAAGCATGAACGCCATCAACCTGACTACTCCTTCCTCTTCGCCATCAGCTGGACAATCATGCAGACAAGAGGGGAAATTTACTCCCATTCCAACCTCCTATGGAAGTCTGTTGCCAGAGCTGTTAGATGCCAGACTCCTAGCATGTGTTCCTCCGAAAAGAACGAATCCACCCTACCCCAAGTGGTACAAGCCTAATGAAAAATATGCTTACCACTCGGACGCTCCTGGGCATTCCGTAGAATATTATGTGAACTTGAAATATAGGGTTCAAGAATTGTTGAATGCCGAGTGGATCACTTTCAACGCTCCAACTCCTAATGTTAATATCAAGCCTCTATCATAACCAGAATAGTGGGGTTGGACAAGAGAAGACCAGTTGGATAGGGCTCCTTATGTTAGCATTTTTTTTAAGCTTCCTGTGCATCTCTCGTGGTCCCTGCCCATGACCGTGAGATCCTTGATTAAAAGAGCTTTGTAAATATTTCTTTTTTATCAATACAATGAGGCATTTGCATAAGCATTCACATTATTTCTCATTATTTTCTCTCTTACTACTCTTTCAAAATAATTGGCAATAAAATCTAAGCCTAAACAGAACCGAATAAAAACAATCATGTCTGTGATGGATGACTCTCTGTGGATCCGAAAGCCGAAGGTGAATGGACCGAGTCAGACAGTGAGGAGGGGACCGTTTCCCAGATATGCATAGGCTATTAGAAAGAGAAGTTCGATCTATACGGCCCTACTAGGAATAAACCAAGGCCATTGATTTGGGGGGCAAAAAGATGATAGGAAAAAGATAAATATCGATACCCAAATCAATGATGAATGTCAAGGAAGGTTTGGTATAACTACTAAGAGAGCATGAGGACGCATGCGCATGGTCCTACCATGACATGCTAAGATTCCAAATTTTAACATCATAAGTCCTCTCCATACCGACCTACAATGAATGGTGCAGTAGAGACAACCAATAAGAACATCAAGAAGATCATCTGGAAGATGGTCAAAACCCACAAGGATTGACATGAAATGTTACCGTCTGCCCTTCATAGGATATCAAACGTCCGTACAGCCCTCCACAGGAGCTACTCCATTCCCCTTTGTATATGGCATGGAGGTCGTACTTCCAATAGAGGTCGAGATACCTTCCTTGACAAGTTATCATGGAAGCAAAACTGAAAAATGCTGAATGGCCAAATCCGATACAATCAGTTGAACTTAATCAAAGAAAAACGGTTGAACGCCATATGTCGTGGATAATTCCATCATAAGAAAATCAAAAGGGCTTACAACAAAAAGGTCAACCCCCATATTTACCTAAGGGGGATTTAATGGTAAATAAATTGTTTCCGATCCAAAAGGATAAAATTGGAAAATGGATAACAAATTATGGACGACCCTTCATGGTCAAGCGAGCTTTCTCGGGAGGAACTCTTATCCTCACCATGTACTGAAAAGAACTTCCACTACTAGAAAAATGTCAAATAGTAACTGAAATCAATGACTGAAAAATTTAGTTACTATCTGTGACTGAATTAGTAATCAAATTATTATTTTTAGTTTAGTAACTGAAATAGTAACTGAATTTTTGGTCACATAAAATCAGTTACTATTTCAGTCACTTTATTATTTAATTTTATTTTTTTAATTAATCTAATTTTAATTTATGTAATTATTTTAGTATTACTCTCCAAAGTTTTCATCTCTTCGTGCTACCTTGTTCCGAAATTTTCATCTTCTTCGCGCAACAGTTTCGAGACTTAACCCCAACATCTTTGCTCGTGTCCAAAATTTAAAAAATTTCTTCATCTCTCCATCCCCAAGCAAATTCGAACCTCAACCCCAGCCTAAAAGTTGACGAACTAGAGGCCTAAACCTAACTCTGACGGCATGGAACCCTAATCTCAAGGGAAACCCAAATTCAACTCTGGCGACCTCGAACCGTAGCTAAACCCCCAGTGACCTCGAACCTTACCCAGTGACCTCGAACCCTAACCTCGACCCAACCCCAACGATCTCAAACCCGAACCCAAACCCAAACCTCGACAGCCTTGAATCCAAGTGGCCTGAAACTGTGGCGACATCAAACCCTAACCTAAGCCTCGATGAGCTCAAATCCTAACCCTAACAAACTTGAATCTTAACCCGATGACCTCAAATCCCACCCCAAAACTTCACGACCTATAATCCGAATAGAGGACATCTGACCATATAGCTTGCATTTGTGTCTTATCGACTCTCTCCTTGTGCTGCAAAATGGTTAGGCTTTTACATGATCTTTGTTTAAATTTATATCAATGTGTTTGAATTGACTCATTTTGTGATTGGTCTTTGTTCTACTACATTAATCAAGTTTGTTTCAAATGAATTAATCAAGTTGATTTTTAAATTTCTGAAACTTTGGTCTTTAATTGGGCTAAATAAGGTAAGGCTTTGTTTTTGTTGTTTATATATTTTTTAAAAATCACAACAGAAATTAATGTAGTTTTTTCATACATAAGACAAGAATAGGACTAACTACTATTGTTGGATGCTTTTATTTGTATTTTTCTGTTGATGAGTTTATTCAGATTATAACAAAGCATTCATTGGCTTCTTACTCAACCATTCATTTGCAAACCCTTACTCTACTCTAGTTTTGTGTAGATACTGATTCCAAAATTACTCTGTGTCTATGAATTATCCTACTAAAGCATGATTTTTAAGTTGTTTCCCTTTAACAGTTGAAAATATCTAGCTATGACGACATAGGCTTTTCAATTTTCAAACTGATAATTGGACAAAAGCTTAACAGATTCATTCGAGCAGTCAAACTTATTTAATGTTGGTAAATTGAAAACATGTGTGTCATCTAGTATTCTTTGAATTGGTGAAACATTGAGCATTTTGAGTAGGGTAGTCTACAAAATGCTTAACAGCTCGTCTATGTGGTCATTCGGTTATGACTAGCAATAGAAACTTGTCTTTTTATTTTTTTCTAGTTCTGGTTTGTCTGTTCCTTTATACTGTTTTCTAGATGGTGGTTGATGATATTATGATGACTAATGCAGTTTGTCACAGTAATATATTCTGAAAGAAACAAAACTCCATGTTTTTTTAATCTTAGTCTGTTACATTTTCATACCTAGTATATTGATGATCATATAATAATTAATCTACAACTTGGGTTAGGGGTTTACAAGTGTTTCTAAGAATCCAAAGTCCATATCTAAGACCTATTCTTCATTGAGTACTTGTTTAAATGAGGCAAATTTGTTGTTTTCCTGCTGTCTATATTCTTATTAATAAATTAACATAGTAAAAAATATCATATTCATTAAAAAAAAATCCTAGAAAGCATTTATCAAGACAATTGTTCCAAGTTCCAGGCTAGCTAGTCATTTACTGAAGTCTAAAAATGTGCTTGAATTGGCACGACATGTAGGACTTGGGTTGTCATTTCACTTTGTTGCATCTAGGATGCAAGTGGTACAGGCTGTTGTCTATTTAAAAAGGAGGGCAGGGCAACGATAGAGTTTTTTTTTTGGGTATTTTTTTGGTTTATTTAGTACTATAAAAGTTATTCATTAACCTGTTGGCATTAACATTTATCTAATGATATGACTGTCAATTGTGTCTGTTTACTTCTAATTTGGTTATGTGGTCTAATTGAGTTAAAAAGGGAGATCAATCTCGTGTTGGTACAAATTGAACTTAGAAACAAATTGAAATTATATGATGCAGAGTGTTTGCTGAATGGAAGCTTATATAGATTGGAAAAACCAAAGGTATAAGCTTTTAGAATAGAAAAAATAAATTGGAACTTGAACAATTATGTGAGGAAATTCTACAATAAATAGGCATCAATCATGTATTATTAGAAAAATGAGAGGATATATAATATATGATTTAACCGTTTTTGAGCAGTACAATGGTTTTTGGAAAAGATAAGGCTAATGGGTGTGTAAGACTATATATTTGCATACGGGGAGCATGAAAATTTTGAATCTCAGCTGATTAAATATTTTATTATCTTTTTGTATTCTTTTTAAGTAGGGAAAGCTCTAACCTCTTTTTGGTTGCTTATGGATATTCCATGCGCACTGTAAAGTTGCAGTGAAAGTGAGAGCATCTGTTACAACATCACTCTCTTTTCAAAGATTTTTGTTAATCATAGTTTTAATCATAGCCTTGAGATGTTTTTCACTTTCTACTATCGTGATTGTTTAGGTTCGAATGGTAAATTCTTTAGGAATATACTGATTATATCAGAACCATAGCTGATGTAACATTCAACTTTATGCAATTTGAAATGCTCCACTTTTGAGGACTTAGTGAACTTTATTAATCAAATTAATGAATTTATTTGTATATTAATATTATCAATAAAACTTCTCTGTATCCATGCTCTGAATGAGACTTTTTCTATACATGAATGGGCTTAAGAATATGTTTTAATAGGACTATGTATTAGATGATTAACAATAATGTTGCACTACTTCCACGTAATTATCTTGCAAAACCTTTTTAAGTGTAGTATGAGATGGAGAGAGAAAGAGAAGAGAAAGGTACGAAATAAGGGAGTAATATGATGGAGAGAAAAAAATGAAGTTGTAGAAAAGTGGGGGTGAGAAAAGTGGTTTGGAAATAGTATTATTCTTAATACTTCTATTTCCTTGTGGATCATGTCGTGGAATAGTGTGACCATAGCCCTTTGATAGGTGGCCCCTGCGTTTTTGAGCCCGAAAGGCATTACTCTATAGTAGAACATGGTGTAATAAAGGAGGTTTTCTCTCTATCCTCGATGGCCAACTTAATTTGATTGTAGCCCGCATATCCATCCATGAAGGAATATAGCGTGTTCGTAGCGGTATGATCTACTAGTGTGTCTATGTGTGGCAAGGGGAAGTTATCCTTTGGACTTGCTCGATTAAGATCCCTGTAGTCCACACATACCCTGACCTTACCGTTCTTCTTGATAACGGGCACTATGTTGGCCAACCATTCTGGGTATTTGGACACTATTAGGAAATTGGCGTCCAATTGTCTTTGTACCTCCTCCTTAATCAACAAGGACCAATCTGGCTTGATTCTTTTGAGCTTTTGTTTTACAGGTCGGACTCCTTCTTTTAATAGTAGTCGATGTTCTACTATGTTCGTATCCAGCTGGGGCATGTCATGATAGGACCAGGCAAACACATCCACATATTCCTTTACAAGTTGCGTCCATCATTTCCTTATGCTACTATCTATTTGGGTGTCGATATTTATCTTTTTCTCTTCATCCCCTTCTCCCAAATTGATAGTTTTCGTTTCCTCTTGGTGCGGTTGTATAATGTTCACATTCTGCTCGCACCTCTCAGCACCCTGACTACACCGTGGCCATTCTCTATGTGGGGCATGGACATCATCGGACCCATCGAGCCCAAAGCATCTAATGGCCACCGTTTTATCTTGGTGGCCGGCCATTGCCTATTTCACCAAATGGGAAGAGGCAGCATCATATGCACATGTGGCTAGAAAAGTGGTGACCACCTTCATGAAGAAGAACATTCTATGTCAGTATGGTATCCCTCATCGGCTCATTACTGATAATGGGACCAATCTAAACAATAAAATGATGGAGAAATTATGCCAAGATTTCAAAATTCAACACCACAATTCCTCTCCATACTGACCTAAGATGAATGGTGTAGTAGAGGCAGCTAACAAAAATATCAAAAGAATCATCCAAAAGATGGTGATAACCTACAGGGATTGGCACGAAATGCTACCCTTTGCCTTGCACGGATATCGAACTTCCGTAAGGACCTCCACCGGGGCCACCCCATTCTCCCTCGTATACGGCATGGAGGCAGTATTGCCAGTAGAAATTGAGATACCCTCCCTAATAGTCATTATGGAAGCGAAGCTAACCGAAGCAGAATGGGTCCAGAATCGATATGACCAGCTTAACCTAATTGAAGAAAAACGGCTAGACGCCATATGTCGCGGGCAAGTTTATCAAAAAAAGATCAAGAAAGCCTACGACAAGAAAATCAATGCCCGCACTTTCCGAGAAGGGGATTTGGTAATAAAGAAACTGCTTCCCGCCCAGAAGGATAAGATTGGAAAATGGGCAGCAAACTATGAAGGACCATTTATTGTCAAGCGAGTCTTCTTAGGAGGAGCCCTTATCCTCACTAATATGGATGGAGAAGAGCTTCGACATCCAGTCAACTCAGAAGCGGTAAAGAAATATTACGCTTAAAAACATTGCTGTCGTCGCCGTCCGTTCCAACGTCCTGGGACGTCTTCGAACGTTAATGCGAGCGGTCGCGAAAAGATGGTTGAGACTCGCGTTTTTTGTTAAAATTGTGTTCATTGCTTCCGAGGCGCTCAACACTGAACTGTCCTCTAATAAAAGCAAGGTTTTCGAAAAGGGTTTCTTTTGGAGTCGCCACCAATGTTTTAACCAGAAACATTGGAAAAGGAAAAAAGGCGTTGATTTTAATAAAAACCAACTTGGCCATTATAACCAGAGTTGGGTAAGGGAGTTAGTTACGTGTGGGGAAGGTGTTAGCACCCCACAACGCCCCTTTCGGGTTCCCTATGACGGATTTATTCATTAAGTGAAGATTATGAGAAATTACACATTTACCCTTATTTTATTGATACAGTTATTTAGATATGGTTATCTACATGATTTATCTACATTGTATACAAAAAACAATAAATAAAGCAATAAAGAAGAAGAGAATTGAGAAAAAACCTCCATAGCAAGCTTTATATTATGATTCTTGTACAAAGAGGAGGCGTTTCGGCAGTCCTTTGCTCTACAATTGTTCTCCTCTCGTTTACCCTAATCGACTCGACTAATTTTCTAGAAGAAGTCGAATGCCAGAATACAAATTCCTTAACTGATTGTTACCTAAAAAAGGCAATCAGAAAGATCATTCGAGAGAGGGAGAGAAGAAGACAAGTCTTAGAGTTGTCTGGTATCTGAGGTGTGTGAAATGAGACGAATGAGCCTCCTATTTATAGCATTTTTCGCTACCTGGAACTTTGGGACGGCCGTCTGGGTTGGGACGGCCGTCCCAAACGTGTTTTCTGCGTTGTGCCAATCTGGGACGGCCAGTCTGGGTTGGGATGGCCCACATTCGGGACGCGCGTCCCAACTGCTTAATTTCAGTTGGGACGGCCGTCCCAACCCTGGGATGGTGGTCTCGACCCATTTTGTCCAGCCTTTGTATTTCGGGACCCCGGGAAGCTTTCCTTGCCGTTTTCGGACGTGGATTGGTGCCGATATATGTCCGTTGAAGCTTTATCTTCGTATAAGAAGTCTTCTTGGCCTTCATTTGAAATGTTTGGGCGAGCTTTATCTATGTATAGGAAGTCTCCTTTGTGTGGATGAGTGAACTCCATCTTATTATTAGATGTCTTCTTTAGTCTTTATCGTTCATATGAGCGAACTCCATGTTTGTTGCGGGAGGTTTCCTCAGTTTTGGGAAGCCGGATGAACTCCATCTTCGGGCGAAGTTCCTCTAGCTTTTATTTTGAGAGGCCGGGCAAAATTAGGGGTCTACAGCTGCCCCCCCTTCACCTGCCTAAATAATTTGTTGGTTTTAATATACCGACAAAATTATTTGGCAGGGGAAGGAGTTAACCCTTTTGCCCAGTTATCCTTCGGATGCGGCTTCTTTGCTGATCCTCCGGATGATAAATATTTTGATAGGTACCAACCCCTATCTGGTTTGAGCCTCCTATTACAAAGCTCTGGTGAGTACTTACCCTCACCCGGTATAAGTCTATATTTTACTAGACTTTTGTGAGTACCTACCCCCACTAGGTATGAACCTTGTTCTGCAAGGTTTTGGTGAGTACCTACCCTCACCTGGTATGAGTTCGCATTTTGCTAAACTCTTGTGGGTACTTACTTCCGAGGTGCTCAACACTGAACTATCCTCTAATAGGAGTAAGGTCTTTGCAACCCATTTTTGTAATGCTTAGGTGAGTATTTTACTCTATCTAATGCATTCTGCCAAGTTTTCTGATGAGTATTTACCCTCATCTGGTATAAACCTTATTTTATAAGGCTTTGGTGGGTTTATTCTTCCACCGGGTACAAATCTGCATCTTGACAGATTCTAGTGGTTTTTATACCCCCACTGGGTGTGAACCTGCATCTTGACAAGGTTCTATTGTGCGAGTCTGCATCTTGACGGACTCTAATGGTTTTTACACCCCCACTGGGTGCGAACCTGCATATTGGCTCGGGTTCTAATGGTTTTTACACCCCCACTGGGTGCGAACCTGCATATTGACTAGGCTCTAGTGGTTTTTACACCCCCACTGGGTGCGAACCTGCATATTGGCTCGGGTTCTAATGGTTTTTACACCCCCATTGGGTGCGAACCTGCATATTGGCTCGGGTTCTAATGGTTTTTACACCCCCATTGGGTGCGAACCTGCATATTGGCTCGGGTTCTATTGGGTGTGAACCTGCATATTGGCTCGGTTCTATTCTCACTCAATTTTGATGAATTTAACCTTTA